CGCCCCGCTCAGGCCTGAGCAGCCGAGCGCCGAGCGCCGCTCCCCCGCCCGGCCTGTTTCCCCCTGGCCTGCCGCACCCGCCTCGGCCGGGCTTCATTTGCATCTCATTTGCATTCAGCCCCCCGATTTGCTGGGACGCGCCCCGTCGTGTCCGCACCCTGGGCCCGGCCGGCGCCGCTTCTCCCGTTGACCCTTCCTCTGCCCGTCGAGTCCGGGCCAAGGGCAGCCCTGCCCCGAGCAACCAATTAGGGCTAAGTCTCAGTCTGCACTTCCTGTCCCAAAGGCGGCCTCTTCCCTCCCCACCCCCTCCGGTTGCTTTAGCAACAGCGTACCCGCCCCCCCTTAAACCACCTGTGGCCTGACCCCCACCCCTGGACCGGGGCGGGGGCCTCAGTAGGTTCCAGAGTGAACAGCCCGACACAGCACCCCGCTCCGTCATTACACAGCCGCAGGGCCCAGGCCTGTGCATGTGCACATGTGCGCATTCACACCCTGGCTGCGTTGGTTCTGTGTGCACACATCCTGGACACCTGGGTGGTGTCTGTGCATGTGCCCTTTTGTGTCCCAGACCCCTGGGCTTTGTGTGAGTGTGCGTATGCATATGTCCCCCAGAGGCCTAGGCTCTGTGGGTGTCCTAGCTGCCCAGAATTTGTGTGCGTGCAGGTGTGCGCCAGCCCCCCGTGTCCCCGTTTGCTTGTGGAACCTGCCCTTGCCCCTGCTGGGTTCTCTGGGTGTGCATGTGCCTATGTGTACAGGGGTGTACATGTGCACACCCTGACTGAGACCAGGTGGTTAAGGTGCACACCTTAACCCTCCTCCTCCACTCCCTACTGGCTGCAGCCTTCCTCAGGGCCCCCGCACAGAACCCAGGCATCTCGGCCGCAAATTAATGCACAGGGACCCCAGACATCCGCCCACCGCACGCCCTCACCCAACCCAGGGCACGAGGATGGGACCCCTTCACTACACACAGCTGCAGCTCTGAGCCCTGCCCTGCCCCAGCCCCCTCTTCACCTTTGCCTGAACCTGCCCTAACAGCGGCCTGGCCCAGAGCAGGGTCCCACTGCCTTCCTCTGTTCCTCCAAGGATGGCCTTGGTCCTCCACTGCAGGCTCCCAGAGGCGCTGCCCTGGTGCTGCCAGCGAGCCTGGCGGCTCCTGTCCCATAGCCACGGTTGTGGAGAATTCTTTTCCGGTGGCAGCACTTAGCTCTGCGCAGTGGCAACCTACAGCCCGTGGGCTCTGGTCCAGCTTTGCAGGGCCCTGGGATCTTTCAGGCCAGTGCTTTTGCTTTTCAGCACAGCCACCAGGCTTCCCCATGCCACAGAGAACTAGTGCCCCCCTGCAGCCCCCCCAACCACCACAAATGCCCTGGGATCCCCCTACTACCAGTATTGGCTTCCTCCCCACAAACCCCAAGTCCTCCCCTGCCCACATCCACCCCCAGGCCTTTGAACAGGAGCTGCTAGGCCCAGAGGATTCATGCCTGGCTTCACCCAACAGGCAAGGGGGAAACTGGGAGCCATGGGAAAGGAAGCAACCTAATGCACTGAGTGTCTGGTTGGCATAGGGCAGGCAGGAAAGCTGAAGGCAGGAAACAGCATGACCTGGAAGAACCTTGGACATTTTATTGGTGAAGCCAGAGAAAAATCAGAACTGAAAATACCCCAAATAAATAAGTCAGGCAGTGAGGGCACGGGCCAGCGCTGCCCACGGTGCCAGCCCCTGCCCCTGCCCCCTACCATGCTACCCAGCTTTAGTAGAAGTGAGATCTGAGCTTGGCACAGGCCTGGGAGACCTTAATGCCACACAAAGGAAGTCAGGGCCAAGCCCAGATCCCCAAGCTGAAGGGAGCAGCAGATGGCACCAGGTGGCAGGATAGCTGGAGGGGGGCACAGAGCTACTTCCAACCCAGGCCAGGGCCACCGTGACACCAGGAAAAAGGCAGAGGTGCCCCTGTGCTGGTACTAGCAGAGTCCAGCCCTTCCGTGGGCCAGGAAGGGGACAGATAGCACCACTTACAGCCAGGCAGGGAACCAGGAGCCACTCAGGAGTGGCAGGACAGAGGGAAGACCCTGCAATCCCTTGCCAAGCCACATTTAGGCCTTAGAGGACTCCTGCCAGCCTGGGCCGTGGCAAGAGCCAGCAGTGGATGACTAGGAGCTTCCATGGCACAGAGGGGCAAGGACAGTGCTTCGGGGGAGGGGGGAAGAAGAGTACGTGGGGGGGTGGGGGGGGTGTTAGATTTCAGCCCAAGCTTCCTTCAGGGGCAGGCAGGGTCCATTGGAGAGCACTGGGCCTAGGCCAGGGCCTTATAGGCATCCAGGTTGAAGGCCGTGTCCAGGAGGCGCTGCAGCTCCGTAACATGCGTCTTCTTGTTACCTGTGGCTGGGGCGGCTGCAGGGTCACGCCCAGCGTACCTAGGTGGCAAGAAAAGGTGTCTGTCAGCTCCACAGTGCCGGGACTCCAGACAGAGACAAGAGTGAGAGGCCAGTTAAGATGCCCCCAGGTCTGCCCCCAAGGTCACTACTGCAAGCTGGCACAGCACACTCATGTTTGAAGGGGGAGGGCACATCATGCTCTGGGAAATACAGTAATTGCTTTCCCACCTCTGCCCTGTGGGGAGACTGGGAAAGCAGTGAGGGTACCATATTTCCCAATGTATCAGAAGTCCCTTTACCTCCAAACAGGCAAAGGCAGGAGCAGGAAAGCCTGATGCTACTTTGTTTTTCAACGTATAAGATCCCCCTTGCCCCACCCCAACCAGAAGCAGGAACAAGAAAGCAGTTATGACACCATATTTCCCAATGTATAAGACCCCCACCTTCTGGACTCAGCTGTGCCCAGCATTTCCGTACCTTGGCAGAGGAGGCATCACCCTTGCCCCCATCCCAGGAGGCCAGTTCCATGAGCTGCTATAGTCCTTGATTCCACAAACCACCCCCTCCCCCAACCCAAGGAGTAGGGAAGGGCTCATACCACACGGGCTTGGCTCGGTTGATGGTGGTGCGTAGGCGTGGCTTGACATAGTCATAGTAGCCCTGGTTCTTGTGCTCCTCCTGGCACCAGGCCAGCTCAGCGTTCGGGTATTTCTCAGCTTCCTGCTGGAGCAGGTCGAAGGGGAAGGGGGACAGCTGTGGAAGGAGAGATGGGGGTGGATACAGCTGCCTGGCACTGGGGTTGGGGGATGGAAATCAGGGCTCCCTGACAGCCTGGATAGGCAACATGATGCCGAGGAGGCTCAGGAGGGATAGAGAATCCATGGGCACCCCATCCTGAGTCCCATATGTACAGCATCAGCCCTGCTGCCTTGCTAAAGGGAGTCTCTGCTACACCATGGCCTCTAGCCTAGGCCTAAATCACCTTGGCTTTGGTGCCCAGGGTCAGCGCGGGGTGGCACAGCAGCAAGAGAAGCCGTGATAACACAGCGAGGGAAGCCATGATAGCAGGGCGAGGGGGTCCCCAGATGCCCGGGTTTGAGGCACGCTCACCTGCTCCACCCGGGTGATAGCCACCTCAGCCTCCATGTGGCGGGCCTTGCGCTCCCGTGTGAGGTCATAGTACACCTTGCCTGTGCAGAACAGCACCCGCCGCACGCCCGCTGGGTCCTGGGCTGCCGCGCCGGCCTCTGGGATCACACGCTGGAAGTGGGTGCCTGGGAGAAGAGCCAAAGCATGACATTGCCTGTTTGGAGGTAGGGGGGCATCTTACACATTGGGAAATATGGTAAAGGAGAGGTGAGAAAGTAAGGACATTACGGTATTTCCCAATGTGTAACATGCCCCGGCAGGACTATTCCCAACTCCAGCAGAACAGCCAGAGCAGGGCTGTTCAAGAACTACGTTGCTTTGTTCCCCATGTACAAGATGCACCCTGACACTCCCCCCCCCAAAGAACAGGGCAACAAGAACATGAGGTTACCATATTCCCCAACATAAGACATCCCCTTCTACAAGACTGTCCCCACCCCTGGAGGAACCTGGAAAGGGCAGGGTGTGAAAGCAGAAGATAAAAAGTGCAGCAATCCAGTTTTTATTCCAATTTTTTGTTTTTTAAATTAAAAAAAAAAAAAAGTGACCAAGATTCAAGGGTTTCAACTATTTTTCTTTGCATTAGTGTATAAGATACACCTTCACTTTAGAGTCCCTTTTGTAGGGGAGTCACAGGGGGAGGGATGTCATACACCAGGGGGTCCCAACCTTTTTATGCTGCGGACTGGCAAACCGCAGGACTAGAAGTGACCAGCATACTGCGGGCAGGCAACCAACCCTTTTTTATACCGAATATATATATATATATATATATATATATATAGTGGCTATATATAAAATGCATTTCTAAAATAAGGGTTGGCTGCCGGTCCACAGTATGCTGGTCACTTCCGGACTTCTGGTCCAGCAGCCAACCCTCCTGCGGACCAGCAGCCAACCCTTCACGACCCTGTAGTGGGCCGTGGCCCAGGAGTTAGGAACCCCTGTCATACACCATAAAGTATGTTACCCCACAAGCACCCCCCTCTCCATGACTGTCTCCAGCTGGGCCCTGGAGCCCTCGCGCTGGCTGGAAGAGCTCAGCCCAACCCTGGCACTCATTCAGTCGCCTTGCAGGCTCCCTGGGGTACTCTGCCCTCAGCCTCATGGGCCCCATCGGCTCAAGGGTAGCAGGACCAGGCAGGCACCAGAGCTAGAACTGGTTGGGGCTTCAGAGAGGCATAGGTAGACCCCTGGGAAGGCCCTGTTGACCCAGAGCCAGTCTGGAGCGGCTCAGCAGGGAGATCTCGGAACAGGAGTATCAGGTTCTACCAAGGGCAGCCATGTTTGGGAGCAGGCTGCCCCCCTGTGGCACGAACTGGGCACACCTCCATGTTGCTTTATTTCCCAACCAGGCAAGGGCAGGGCTTGAAAAGCAATGGCATTACCATATTTCCCAGTGTATAAGAACCCTTCCCTATCCCCAACCACCCCCAAGGAATATCCCCACCTCCAGGGGACCAGGCAAGAGCAGGGCTCTCAAAGAACAATGTTCTTATTTCCCAGCATATAAGGTACTCTACCCAACCCCAGAGGAATCCCCCCCCCCCCCCGCCCTTTTTTTTCCCCTCTGCCCTCCCCCGTCC